GCCCTGGACCGCGGGGACCGCGAGACCCTGGCCACGTTGCTGGATGCCTGCAAGGCCAAGGGCACGGAGGTCATCATCATAACCACCGACACCTCACCCTCGGGCACCAAGAAGACCCGCCAGTATCTCAATTCCCCACCATCCCCGGGGGTGGAGGACCCGGCTCCTGCTCCTCTGAGCCCGGGGGTCTGCACGTCGCCTTCAGAGATCCAACTGCAGAATGCGGGAGGAGGAGGACGGGGATTGTTGTCCCCTCGCGCCCAGGAAGAAGAGGAGAAGCGGGACGTATTTGAATTCCCTCTTCCTAAGCCCCCTGATGATCCCGCCCCTCCTGAGCCGCTCCCCAAACCACCTCGACATCCCCCCAAACCACTCAAAAGGCTCAACTCCGAGCCTTGGGGCCTCGTGGCTCCTCCTCAACCGGTCCCTCCTGCGGAAGGGAGGCCGGCGATCGAGCGCTTCACCGCCGAATTCAATGGCCTGACCCTGACGGGTCGACCGCGTCTTTCCAGACGTCACAGCACCGAGGGCCCGGAGGATCCGCCCCCCTGGGCGGAGAAAGTGACGGGCGGGGGTCCCCTCTCGCGCCGGAACACGGCGCCGGAGGCTCAGGAGTCCGGTCCCCCTTCTGGGCTAAGGCAAAAACTGAGCCGCATGGAGCCGGTGGAGCTGGACACCCCCGGACATCTTTGTCCAGACTCGCCCGAGTCCAGTCGCCTGTCCCTGGAGCGTCGTCGCTACAGCGCCTCCCCTCTGACCCTGCCTCCAGCCGGCTCGGCTCCCTCCCCGCGCCAGTCCCAGGAAAGCTTGCCGGGGGCTGTCTCTCCACTGAGTGGACGGAGGCGGAGTCCCGGGCTCCTGGAGCGGAGGGGCTCTGGGACGTTGCTCCTGGACCACATCTCGCAAACGCGGCCGGGTTTCCTGCCCCCGCTCAACATCAGCCCCCACCCTCCCATCCCTGACATTCGCCCCCAACCCGGAGCTCGGGCGCCTTCACTGCCGGCCCCTCCCCACGCCGGGGTGCCGGGCTCTCCCAGGACCAAGCGCAAGTTGGTGAGACGCCACTCCATGCAGACTGAGCAGATCCGACTGCTAGGGGGCTTCCAGAATCTAGGCGGGCCAGGAGAACCCGGGCGCTGAGGGAAATGGAAGAAGCCAATGGGGGGCGGAGACCAGGACTTTGACTGGACAGGTGGGAGAACCAACTTATACTCATATGCCGGACACAGGGGTCTCTTGCATGTGCTCATGGCACGGCGCAGGCACACATGGGTAGACGTGTCCACAAGCACAGTAGGCTTGCTCAAGAGGAAGAGTAAGTACAGTACTGTCTGTGGGGTATGCAGACACATGCATTCATGCCCTGCTCATTCAACATGCATTGGGATTGCTAGTGAACCCACAGGCACAGCACAGCAGTGAACTCACAGAACTTGTGCTCTAGTCCCGAACTCACATTTATTAGGGGTACGGTCCTGTACCTGCACCCTCCTGCAGAAGCAACCCCTTGCTTTCCATGTGTGTGCCCTACAACACAGCCTATCATGATTTTGCACATGCCACTTCCTCATCATGAACATCCCACCAGTTCTGCAGGTCTTGTTTCTCTCCCCAGGCCTGGATCCTTTTCCCCACTCTGTGTCAGGCCCCAACCTATTTTCAGGACTACTTCACTCTTTGGGAGTTTCTGCAGCACTCCCAGCCTCAGTTCTGCTGCTGCCCTTCCGGCTTCTTATTTTCACTCTGTTCCTCCAAACACTACAACTGGTTGTCTCCTTTTCCTGGAGGGTGGGTCATGGGCTCTGAGCTGCTCTTCTATCTGAGCTTATGAACACCCCCACAGGTACAGGTGAGGAGTAGACCTAAACCACTCCTCTCTCCACTTGAAATATCAAATAAATGTGTTCAGAAGTCTCTGTTTTGTCACTTCTGCCTGGAGGTGTGGGGTGTGGGGAACAAAGAATGGACAATGAGCCTTATTCTAATAGCTATAATGATCTTGGGGGAATAGACTTTACAGCTACTGTACCTTATTTGCAGGACACCAACTGATCAACTATGGTTAGAGAATAAGGAGCCAAATGCCCTGTGTCTTGAAGGTTTTAAGGCATGTGACAGGGTTTAATTTCTGCCAATCTCCCCTGTACCCACCCTTACATTTTTGGGTTGTTTGTTTGTTTGGACAGGGTCTCACGATGCAGTTCATGCTGGCCCTGAGCTCTGTATCCCAGGCTGGCTTTGAATTCACAGCAATCCTCCTGCTCAGCCTCTCGGAACACAGGCATGCACCAATATGCCTGCCCACCCTTACATTTTTAAAAATTCCTGCAGAGTCCCACTCTCCAACATAACAGTAGATTAACTGCCCCTCTGTCAGGCTTCCTGTTTCTTGTCTACTCAGTGTTTAGGGTCCAGTTTTCATCTCACCTGGTGCATTTTATCCATTTCTTTCCACATCTCATCTCACCTTTACCACCCCGTCTTTGATTTTTGAGCTGCTGTGGGAGAGATTGGAGGAGTTAGTGTAACTTCGCCTAAGTATGCCTGGCCATGGTGGCACATGCTTGTGGTCCCAGTACTCAGGAGGCTGAGGCAGGATGATTGCTGTGAGTTCAAGGCCAGCCTGGGCTACATAGTGGGTTCAAGGCCTGCCTGAACTAGTGAAACCCTGTCTCAACAAGCAAACAAGCAAAATAAAAAGAAACCTTTTGCCTAAGTAAAAATAGTCCAGTAGTCAACTGACAAAGGAAGTGTAACATGTGTGCGTGTGTGGCCATGTGTGTGTTACTCAGAGGAACCCAGTTTGGCAGGTTCTATGAACAAAGGTACCTTTTAAAATCTGCTCCTTGAATTTTTCAGTTTGCTGGCTTTCTGTGTATATTCTAGCCCCTTCTCACTTTAGTGAAATAAAAGAAGTCATTAATTCTCTCCTCTCTTTCCCCATTCTTTAGAATACATGAAACCAGAAACTTACTCAATAATGTGGCACAGTGAAAAGATGAACATATAGGGGATCGGAGCACCTGCATCTGAACACACACAGACACAGACACACACGATCACCTCCTAGCTATTTAATTTTGGGCAATTTAGCCTCTCTGAGAGTCAGTTTCCTTATTCATAAAATAATAAAATCTGGTTCGTGATTGTGATTATTAAATAAGACAATGCGCCAAAGAATATTGCATAGTCTATGCTCATCACATGTCAGGATCTTTCCTTACTTTAGCTCTACCACCCATTGCCATGTGACCCTACACAAGTCCCATAACTTCTCTGAGGCAGTTTCCTCATCTACGTATATAAAATAAAGTGGTTGGACAAATGATCGTTCTGTCTGCAATTCTCTCCAGCCTTGCATCCAGCCCGTTTTTTTTTTTCTTCAAGCCCCGCCCCAGGGTCTGGTCGGCTTTCTAGTGCTAGTCACGGATCTCTCTAAGACGCACTGAAGCTGTGCTGCTGTCTCTTACCGAGGCCATCGCCTTTTCTCTTTGTGATTGGTTCTCGGAACAGCCACCTTCTTCGATAACTAGCCTATGGGGGAGCGGGAGCCAGCCCCGTCCCGCCCTCTCACTGGGGATTGGCACCGGGCCCGCTCGTCCCCGCCCCCACTTGACTGACGGCCGG